TGAAAAGCAGCCTCCCCATGTTTAGTCCTGACTCTGGGCACTAACAGGAGTCCAGTCCCTGTGCTCCTCAGAGTCCGGGCCGGTTCATATGGTACTAACATGTCACTAATATATTTTGGTGCGAGGCCATGGAGAGATTTGTACACAAGCAGAGCTGTTTTAAAGTCTATTCTCTGAGCCACAGGAAGCTAGTGCAGAGACCTGAGGACTGGACTAATGCGGTCGTACTTCCTGGTTCTAGTCAGGACTCGAGCTGCTGCATTTTGAATGTACTGCAGCTGTTTTACAGCCTATTTGGACAGACCTGTGAGCAGGCCAATGCAGTAGTCTAACCTACTGGAGACAAATGCATGGATAAGAATCTCCAAGTCTGCTTTAGACACTATGTTTTTGATCCTGGCAATGTTTTTTAGATGGTAAAAAGCTGCTGATGTTACTGATTTGATGTGGCTATTGAAATTTAAGTCCGAGTCCAGTATTACCCCTAGATTTCTGACCTTGTTTGGAGGTTTTAGGGAGAGAGGAGGTGACAGATGACGCTCTCTTTGTTTCTGTGAACTGGGTATTAAAGCTGGTTTACCTAACATTTCCATAAATTACACATGTTTCTTTGTCCCAACGCAGAGTCTTGTTAAAGTATTATTTTGTGTGTAAATCGGTCCACAACATGCCTTCTTCATCTGATTAAAAACAGAGCCAAGAGCTGATTGGCCGAGTGAGGGTGGTCCTCCCCCCTTTTCATTTTTCTGTCTGAAAAAAGGGCCAAAATCAATCATGTATTGTTGGCCTCTGATCTAAAGATGTGACAGATGGACATGCAACACAATAGAGTAATTAGTTTTCTTATAGTTCCGTGATTGTGGTTTGAAAGTCAGGTACCCCAGATTTAAGATAATAGAACCTTTCTTTGCCTCACAGAAGCCCCACTATAACTTAAAAATGTTGCCATGATTTCAGTAATAGACACAGAATTGTTGTAAGACCGTATAGCAGGAGATCATGGCCATTTTTCTTATCACTGTGGAGACTTGCTACCATCCTAAGGTGAGTTCTTTGCTCAGAATAAGGTCGGATGGGCCGCTCAGATGAATGTTGTCCTTTCTGGTTAAATCGGTCAAAGGGCTGTCGCAGCTATTACCTCAGTCACTGGCACTCGGTCAACAAAACAGACACATCCTGCATTAATGACATTTCTTCCCTGTTTTGTCCTTGTCTGGGTCACAGTGAATAGAACAAAAACCCAAATCACCCTCTGCTGCAGATAAATTGAAATTTCAAGTGAGTTGTGAAAGTCTTCATTTCATTAACTTTGAACAACTGTAACCTTTTTAGTCAGTGTGTCTTCTGAGGATGTGACAGCGGAAATTATTACTGCACTCAGCAATAGTTATGAGCTCAATGACGTCAGTGAAGAGCAAAAAGCAGAAATTGCCAAAAGAAGTACTTTTATTGGTCTTGTTTGTGTCACAAGGTTGCATTTTATATTTGTATATTGTGGCTTTCTTTGCACACATGTCTGTGAGACAGTATGGCTACAACTTTAGAATAGTTTATGGGCATTTAAAAAAATCTGAGCATGTGTTGTTGGCAATAGAGAATTCTTTGTTTCTCTCGAATACTTTTTTATCTCACAGTTCTTTAAAGTGCAGAGTCCCCCAGGGTTCCATTCTTGGCCCATTTTTGTTCCATTTGTATTAACTTCCTCTTGACCACATCGTAAATAAACGCATAATTATGTGGAGTCAGGGTTCTGTGCTGCACATCGTCACTTGGATCGGCTCTGATCAATCGGCCACTTTTCTAATAATCCAAAATAATAAAACATGTAAAAAATTGTCATCAATGCCCCTCCTTTGCCGTTCTCAGTTTGACCGAAAACCGCGTCACTGCACGCACCAGAGCAGGGGAAAACGTGTCGTAATGCTGCATCACTTTTTGCTCTGTTCTCGTGCAAGAGAAAGCTGTGACATCAACACTGGGCCCTGGTGTGCATTAGAGCTATCAAAGAAAATTCTAAATTATAATGTACTGTATATCCAATGCATCTTAGAAAAGGGACATTCAAAGATTAAAATGAATACTAAAATGTTGAGAAACTGCTACTAACTTGTGAGTGGGTGCTCTAAAGCGAAGAGGAGCGTCAAACAAAGTCCATAGTATGATTTCTGTTTGTATTGACTGAAAGGCGCTTGACAGTTTTTCTTGTATCTGCATGATCTAAGCCCGAATTAGGCGTTTTTCAATGTATTGAGTGTTGACAAAATCAGCGACTGGATTAGAGAAAACTTCCTCCAATTAAATTGTATTTTATTTATTATTATTTATTTTATAAATTACTATTTCAATTGGAACGGGCCCCCACTTTTGTTCAGCGTATTGGGTCCAAGGACTTAGGGACTTAGTGATCCTTCTTCTTATCCTTCAACAATCTAGCTACCTCATAGTGAACTTGAGAATCGGAGAAGCTGCTTTCTCTCTTTGTGCTTCTTGTAAATGGAACGTTCTGCCTGCTGCTAATGTACTCATTTAAGACTGAAATAAAGACGCACTTGTCATTTCTTATCCTTATTTGAGTTGATTCTGTGTAGCATTTGTAGACATTTGCTTTCTTATCAACTTTAGCATTTGAAGTGTGACACTCTTGGCTTATTAAGTCTGTTGAATCTACGTTTCAAGAATGTTTGGGTGTGTCATTTGTTATGCTAGTAGGAACCCAACTATTTAGATTTATCATGTACTTTTGTGGTTTCATTTTCTTTGGCAGTTAACTCACTTTTGACACGTTTTTGACAAGTACTTGTTTAACCTGTATTAAAGGTCATCAGATTCAGTATGAAGAGCTTTGTAGGAGTGCACTTTTAAATATCAAAGCATATAGATTATTTGTCTCTAAAAATAAATAGAGGTAGGCGATAATAGTAGTAGGCGATCGTTACTTAATTAAACCCTGGCTCTTTGATACCAGAGTGAGGTGTTTCACCATAGATTACGGTCGAGGCATTACTTTGCGATACAAGAACTCCGCAGACTACACTGCAGAGAGAGCAGCTGAATTGGAACACGTTACTTATTATTAATGTAATCAGGTTTTTTGTTATCTTCAATATTGCAGAAACACTTTGTTCCTATTTGCACATTGAGTTGAATTGTTTTTTGTTTTTTTTTGAATGAAGAAAAGGCAATAAGTATAATTTCTCCAAAAACAGGATATTAAAACAAATGTGACAGAAGCCCTACGTCTGTTCCTACTTGAACTGACTCCCTCTTTGAAGTTCAATAAAATAGAAAGACTTTGTTTTTTTTCAGTATTTTTTGGAGGGCTATTTATCCCATTAAAATATTGTTATATATCATATATTAAGATATAAAAATAAATATTTTATTTCCTTCTCCATATTGTCCAGTGTGAAGTAAATAATGAAGGTTTACCTGGTTGTGTATATTACAGTTATAACTTTACTTTTCACAGAACATAGTCAAGACAGTAGTTAGAAACCGACCGATTTTGGAGTTTTTGTAGTCTATATGATACCTATATTGGAAGATTCTGATCTGCCAATTACTGATTTATCAGCTGTTTTTCCCCCATAAATAAATAAACAAAGAAATTACTTTGTCTAGCTTTAGTGAGAAATTATAGATAGGGTTGGGAACCTAAGGGTACCTCACGATACGATACGATACACGATACAAAGCTCACAATAACGATAATATCACGATAATGATTATATCACAATATGACGATTATCGATATATTGGTCAGAAATATACCATATGCCAATTTATAGCATAAATAAAAGAAAAATGTTAAGTGAAAAAATACTTTATTTCATGATAAATGGAATGGAGAGGCGTAATGCAGGCATATATTAAGTATTGATACTAATACAAAAATAAAAAAAAAAAAAAAAATTTAAAATTATCTATACTTGGCAAATGTATATCGATAATCGAATCGCCGGAGAAAGTATCGCGATATATTGATATTGCAGCGGTTTAAAATTAGGTATAACTGATTGATGGAGATGACAGTGATTTACAACAATGTTTTCCAACCCGTATGTGGACCCCTCGGAGTATGCAAGTATACAGGGGGTACTTTAATTATTTTCAAAACTTGAAAGGACATCACTTAAAAGCTAAATTCCCCCCTAATAGAATAAGAAAATAAAATAATCTGATGCAAAATATTTACAGTAGTTACAACACTAATCCCATGAATGAAATAAAGAACCTTAAAAGCCTATAAAAGAGCCCTGTCCACATTGGTACACACAGCATAAAAGATTGAGAACAAGTGATTTAAAAGATTGGCCAATATCAGTGAAATCTCGGCCGGTCACCAAAATCAGACACAATTAGAAAATGCACTTTAGGCTTGAACTGGTCTTTGTCGCCTGTCAAGATCGTTCTCTCTGTGAATTTCTACGCGTCAAAATACAGAGCTCTTTCCACCCTACTCCAGTCGCTTCTCCCTCAGAGCTACGGAATTATGCACCGGCAAACTGGCAGCGACACCGGCAAATTATCAAGTCAAGAGGGGCCCATTTTTACAATTCAGATGACCCCCTTGTGAAGCCGGAACACTTATGTATCTGTTCCATATTTTATTAGCGCTCTCGCAAGTCGCAGCGCCATAGTCAACAGTAGTAACATGAATCGTGACCGCATGTTGGGCTTAGTTGACCTTTTAAAAACAGTGGGTTGTAAAATCTTAGATAAGAGATGGATGGGTGTTGACAATTGCTCTATTTGCTCTCTGTAAATCAGCAGTGGCCTGTTGTTTGTTATTGGGAAAGACACTAGGAAAGAGGAGTAGCAACAAAGTGGGGGTCGTTCTGCAGGTGTGTTACTAAAGCTGTTGCTAAGAGAGATGGTTTCTGAAGTGCACGGGGGTCTCAGGTGGTCTCACATGGAGTCCCAAGTGCACAAGCGTATCTATTCTTCACTCTGTGCGATGGCAGCCCACTCATGTTGCTCTTGTCACTTTGTCTTTGCAGGAAGTTCGGGGAGCGCCCTCAGCCACAGCGCCTAACAAGGTGAGTCCGTGCACACACACACATCACACACATCACACACGTCCTCTTGCACTATTTTTTGAGCTGTTATAAGTGACACCGGTTGCGTTCGGTTTGTTCAAGATCAAAATAAATGTTTAAAAAAAAAGTAAAACTGGGTCACACAATATATAAAAATGGATCCCAAAATAAGGACAGCTCAAAACCACGGACTGGCCTAGATATGATTTTACCAGCTACACATACTTTTGGCTTGGATATATACAGGTGAAACACAGAAAATTTGTTACGGTAACCAAGTCAAAACAAAAAAACAATATTGTTTTATTTTTATTTCAAAATTTATTTCAAGTAAACACAGGAGCATCACAGTTGCTATTAGCATACAAACATACCTGTAACAAAATAGAAATAAAAAAAGGCCTTAAACAGAGTGAGAAGAAGAGTATTCCTCTCCAATATATGATTGATGTATAGTTTTCAATATATTCTAATTTTCAGATATGTTTTTCTTTGACCATTATCAACATAACAACAAATAAATGCTTCATAAATTTCACTTTGAGTAACTAGTCTTCCATTTTGTAGTCTCACATAATGTAATCTAATATATTGTATATGGACTATTGTTGAATTACATTTTTTGTGTTTCACCTGCATATAGAGGAATGGATAACTAATAATCTGCAGTATTTCTCAAACTGTTGTACTGTACCTGACTGGGAGTTCAAGCTCTTTTAGCAAATAATTTGATACCCTAGTTATGTAGTAATTATTCTTCCGATGAAGCAATTTGTTGTTTAGGACGCAATTGTTATAACAGTTTGACACATATAAAGCTGAAGTAGCCAGCTCCTGAACAGACGGTTTTATTGTAAAAAACAAAACATTTTCACAATTTCTGATTTCTGATAGAGAAGTTAACATTTCATCGATCATTGGAAAGATTATTGCTATAGTTGCACGACTGCCTAAGTGCGATCGCAGGGATATCAAGCCTGTTCGTTGTAGGTCTGAGCGCTGCTGCAGCTGTCAAAAGCTGTGCATACACTGTAAAATACACGGCAGAGGACAGCGCGTAGAGGAGCAGGACTGGGGGCTACGCAAAGACTTTGATAGTCCTCTGAACTAATCGCAGAGCTGCCACAAGCCACAGATGTTTTTTTCTGACTTCCTGTTTTTCACAATGACAATAAGAAAAATTCAGATTAAATAAAGATAACTGTCATGTCATACTTGTGGTTATATGTTTTTGGGGGTGACCACGTGGCACAAAAGAAGCACGTAAAATTGTACACACTTTTTTTTTCTCAATGATCACTGGTATGTTATTGATTTGACATGGAGCACGCTATCAGCAGCTGGGTCTCATGTATTCTACTCACATAATAAAATACAGACTATTTTTAACCTACTTTAACACACTGTTGCATCAACCCCAAAGCCCTGTGTCCTGGTCTGGCCGCGTGAACTCCTTCTGCCCTTTGCTGACGGCGGCGTTCGCGTTTACTCGGACCAGCCTCCTGCACGTTTTGGATTAGCCACACTCTCTTGTTTGTTTCCAGTCAGTGGGAGCGGCGCTGGATGAACGCTGAATGTTGATGGATGGCTGCGGCTTTGCTTCTGGAAGCCTCCGCACGCACTTGTTTGCTTGTTGGTGTTTGTCATTGTTTCTGGGAAGCGGCGGGTCTTTTTACGCGTGGCTCTCTGTGGGGAACGGTTGCATATTGTCTAGTTTAAGATGAAGCAGGCCCAAGCTTCCTTTGATGCGTCGCCTGTTCATTCCCGCCAGTCGGACAAGCTCGATGGCCAGAAATATGACAGTCACCCAACACTGTAGCTAAAAGGCACACAAACATCTCCTCAGTGCATCATGTTACTCGCCTTTGTCCTCTGCTGAGCCTGCTTGTTCACTCACGCTCTCTCGTCTCTACTCATTCAACATCTTCCACCATTTTCTTTCAGGCAGCAGTGCAGACAGTCCTTCTGGGGCTTTTTAGGGCAGCTAAAGCTCGGGGTCCTGCAGGGCCGCCCTGTCAGGGAGGTTACTCAACTGGAAATACAATACAGAGACACACAAACTGTGAAAGAAGTGCACACAAGTACACACTAGGGTCCAGAGAGAGCGGCGTTAAACATTCTGTGCACATGAGGACAAGATGCTTTCTGCCTCTGGCTCACTCTCAAATGCTCAAGAAAGCCCAGTGTGGAAGCCTACTCAGAGCCACAGTCTGTTTAAAGTGTGAACTTTTTTATCTTAAACTCTACAGCGTATCTTAAATTGAAGGGGAAATGAAAGCAGGTCTATTGCACCCACTGCTACCAGGACTTATGGGCCTTAAATCCAGAAGAGTGTGGGCCATAGGCAAAATATACAGTTTTGAACAACTTGCTAAAACTTCTGGACATCTATTTTTTATACCATGTACTTCTTATTGAGATTTTTGTACTTATCTATCTTATCTATCTATGTGTAATCATATAACAAGGCTCCATGCAAACAATATGCTTCTAAATGTCCAGTCTGATATTGTGGCCTTCATTCTTATTGAGGTCTTGACATCAGCTGCGTACAACAGTTTCTGCTTTTCTGAAGTTGTTCTTGTTTCGTGTTTCAGGTCGTGATTGATTTTATGATGTGTAAATGGAACACCTTCGTTCATCCAAAACTTGCTTTTAAATGTTGTTTGTAGCAGATGGCTCCTCATTTTTATTGGTCCGTGTAGTGCCCCACTGAGTGTTCATAGGGCTCTTGTGTCAGCTCTCTCTGCTGTAGACCGGTGGCAGATGCACTGGACAGATGCTGCAGCACTTTCACACATTCTCACAAACTGTCAAGAATCTGCTCAAACACACTTCTAAGAACCCACTCACAGGACTTCCCTTATTGGTGAGCTCAAATCTAGTCATTTAAAAAAGTACATTCAATAATAACTAACTTTTTATATTATGTTGGTGTTTAATTACATTAGACTTTAGAGGAAACCAGTGTTGGTGCTGGAGCCGCAGTGATGCATTGTGCTTTCCTCGCTTCTTGTAACCTGATGTGAAGCGAGTGCAACAGTGTCTGCTTTGTTTCAGCTGATGACTGATGCAGTATGTGCCACTGTCATTATTGTAGACATGCATCTGTGTGTCCTCGGCCAGCGTTCAGCCGCTTGCCAGTCATGCTGCTCTATTACACAGCTGTTAGTGCTGCGTTTTACGCCTCTGAGGCTTTGTCCAGGGTCATGTGCTTGACACAAGTGAGAGGACTGTTCTTCGTGCATTATGCCTTCTTCTTCCTCCTAAAGAGCTGTCTGTATTTTTGTAATTTTCATAGCTTTGATGGTTTTCACAACATTTATCTTCACACTTATCACTTGCTACTAGTAGGAAACATTTTGTTTTTGTGCTTTGTGTATTTTTTCTCTTTTATCAAATGTTGGGGGAAAATTCCCTCTGTATTTCCCCCTCATTTTTCATTTATCATGGCAATAAAACTTTTGTCTAAATGTGACACTGTTGCATGGCATGTTTTATATCTGGATGGATTATTATAGCTGTGGTTCCTTCTGCAAAATTAGATCTACTCAGAATTGTCCTTCAATTGAATGGCTAGTCAGAGTTTTCTAACAATTTGGATTCTACTTCATCAGGCATGTAGGGCACCTGTTGTAAACATGTTGACCCCCAAAGGCTTTGATTATTATTATCAATGCATTCATTATGTTAAGCCAAAATGTTCTTTTAAAAATGTGTTTAATGTGTCTATGTGTTTTCTAGATTGATAGTCATAGTAATGTTAATGACTGATTTGTCTTCTGATATCGCCATCAATGACTTTAAAAAAAGTCATTGAAGTAAAATAATGGGTCAAACGTTCTCTGCAAAATAAATGTTCTTGTGTAGGAGGGTATTCTATTGACCCAAAGATGGGATAAAGTTTGCATTCCTCTCTTCATCATGTCTGTGGAGTTCCCCAGGGATCACTAATAGTCCTTCTGTTTTTGTGACACTAAGTTCTTGTTTCACTTGAGCCCTGAAGGAAGCAGCCAAGCATCAAGTTTGCTTTACTTAATGTGTCTCATATTTCCTTTTAACTAGTGCAATTGTGGGCACTTTTTTCAGACTTGGCTTAGGGAAACAAAGTGATTTTCTCCATGTGGTGAATCGATGCTATCGCGTTACTTTATAATGGCCTCAAGTGTTTGGAATTCAAAAATTGCACATTCCTCCTTGTGTTTTGCTGGTGATGTGTGGTTGAAAAATGCAAAGTCTAAACAGCTTAATTGCATTTTTCCGTGTCATCTCCGTCTAAAGTGAGAAATCAGAACCAGTTGGTTATGAAATCAAACCCTTCCGACCCCCGCCTGCACCTCCCCTTCTAATACAGGCACGCACTGAGGCCCCACACTTTTCATAACAAAGCCGGAGCGTGAGTGGGGAGTGGGCCGCCCTGTTCACAGCTCGCGTGTCAAGTGTCAGGGACATATGGGCTTCAGCTTCGTTTGATAACAACGTAGCAGCGGCACGTCTTAATTAGGCTGCGGCGCTGTTTGAGGTGTGACGGTTCCCTTTCTGAAACTACTCTGATCAATAAACACGATTATGAAGGAAAAGAGCAGGCTTTTTTTGAATTTGAGGAAGACATCTGTTGTGCCACTAAGCATCCTGCTGGTGCTCAGAGTCAGCACTAAAAATGGGGAGACAGCTATTCAGATTTACGCAGCTAAAATCTGGAACAGTATTTGTGAATATGTGAGACAGGCTTCTATTCGGGCAATGTTCAAATCAAGGTTAAAAACAGTTCTGTTTTCTGCAACAACTGAAGGATGGTATCTTTACTCTTTTTAATACACTGATTATTTATGATTGCAATGCCTTGTGTGATTCTTTCTATCTTGTTTTCTTAAGCACTTTGAGTTAACCTTGTGGATGAACTGTGCTATACATTTAAACTTGCCGTGCCTAAAACTGGACAACCTATATACATTCTGTTTGTCCAGATAAGAAGTCTTTGTGAACAAATTGGACCACAACAAAAGTTAGCTACACTACATTTTCAGAAGCAAACTGTTGGTGTCACCTCCACACATGGATAAAATACAGACTGAAATATTGTCCTTCCAGAAGGAACGGTTTACATTTTTGCATAGTGCATAATACATACAGTAGTGACACACACAGTCACAATCGCATTTCTTTAAGATAGTCCTGAATCCTGTGATCCGGATCATTTCCATTTCCAACGTTTCTTGAAAATGATTTCAAAATCTACCCACTACTTTTGGACTTATGTTGCAAACGGACAGACAAACAAACCTTGGATATTAATTGCCTCTTTGGTTGAGTTACAAAAGTCCATGGGAAGTTTATATTAATATAAAGATTTCACAAAAAGAATTACGATCCATGATACACTATCAAACCAAATTAAATGTATTGTTGGTTTAGACAAGTGTACTTTTTGGTGCAGTAAAGTTAGTTGATGCATGATGATGCATATTTTACTGTGAGAGAGATGCTACGATATTGTTATGCAGAGTTATTTGACTATTACTTGCCCTTCTTTTAAGCGTATAGCATCCTAGACACCACTGTGACGGAAAGTAGGCACTGGGTCAAATACGCAAACATCTAAACTTTTTTCCACATAAACGGTTGCATAATGTACCTTTTTAAATCCAGCCCAGATATACAACCTTTTTGCCTAAATAATGTCAACACAAAACAAAACCTGTAGAGTTAGTTATTGCTCAGATTTTTCAACATTCTGACCCCAGCTGAAGGTTTTTGAGCTGTTTTCTTTTCCCCTTTCCATTCCTCTCTTAAAACGCTTGCTTCCCCTTTGCACCTCGTTGTCCCTCTGAGCCGGTCATTTATGGTTCAGCCCGGTCCGCGGAGATGTGCCTTTATGGCTTATAGTTTAACAGGCTTTCCAGAGGTCATGGCAAGTGTACAAACTTATCTGCTGAGTGTTTGTGACTTTCATTTGTCCTATGCCCAAACGTCACCTTTTTATACAAACTCTTACTGATCTGGTTTCTCTCCTAACCACAGAATGTGCTAAGAACAGCCTTTTTTTTTTGCTTTGTCTTTACAGAGAAGCAATGCGGAATTACCTAAAGGAGCGAGGGGACCAAACAGTCATGATCTTGCACGCGAAAGTTGCACAGAAATCCTACGGCAATGAAAAAAGGTGAGTGAAAGACGAGACGCAGCTGCTTTTGAGTGAGATATCAAGAACTTGGCCCTGGTCTGTAATCCCCAGCCACCTCGCAAAGGAAGGTCACCCAACCCCCGACAGAGCACGGAGTCTACATGTGGAGTGGGAAGAGCTGCTCAGGTGTTCTCAGAAAAGAACATCCAGAGCTTTGTGCGCAAAATAATGAGCAGTGCATTAAGGTGCATTTGTGCTGCATGGGGCTTTTTCTCATTGGATTCAGAAACATTATTGATTGTTTTTTTAAGTTACATCCAGGGGTATAGTCTTAATCTCGTATCCGGGAGATAGCCTTAATCTCGTATAGTAGGCTTTCCACATGGAGCCAGTCAAACGGTACGTTTAGAAAGCATAAGAATACAGAGTGCACTTGGCATTGCTCCCAAACCGGTCTGACCCCTTAGGCCCAAGTCTACAGGTGGGTTAGTTTATCCCATTGAGAAAAAGGTGCTTTCAAAGGCGTCTCCTTTTGCTTATTACTCTTGGAGATAGATAGATACTTTATTGATCCCCGAAGGAGAAATTCATGTGTCCAGTAGCATCAAAAACAAAAAATAAAATCGATCATTCAAAAAAAGATAAACATAGTAATAATCAGCAACAGCCCTGCAGGTCACAGCAGCAAAGATGGAGTAGTGGGGTGGAGCAGGATGGGTCAGAGCAGCAGAGATAGAGTAGCTTCTGGATGGAGCAGGACGGGTCACAGCAGCAGAGGTGGAGTAGTCTCTGGGTGGAGCAGGACAGGTCACAGCAGCAGAGGTGGAGTAGTCTCTGGGTGGAGCAGGACAGGTCACAAGGTGGAGTAGCCGCTTGGTTCGGACAATTTTCTCTGCTCTAGTCCAAAGTAAAATGCTAAATGCTTCATTAGCATTTTTCAAAAAGTTAGCATTCCTCCATCGGATTTTCACCTTATCCGCTTGATTTGGACCATGAATCCTCTCTGCTCTGGTCTGGAACAGTGCAATATTATAAACACTGTACTTCAGCAACATCTCACTGTACTGCAGCAACATCTCACTGTACTGCAGCAACATCTCAGGCAGAAACGAGCAAGAAAAATAAAAATGTTTTTGGAAATGATATTGCTATCACAAATACAATTGGCAAGGTTTTCAGACAGGCTCGACTGCTTGTAAGCACGTCACTAAAATGCTGTAACGCAATTAAATGCATCTTGTGTTTGGAGTTTTGCTTTCATTTCAAACAATTAAACATGTTCGACCAGGAGCTGTTTCTTCATCGCAATTATCAATATGAGCGAGTAGCCTAAATGTATTCAAAACATTTTTATTATAAGAATGGAGTTTTTCCAGGTGCTCTTAAATGCATCTGCTAGCCTTGTCTCAGCAGTATTCAACCTGAAACTGACTCTTTTTTTCACCCCTCAATTATTGGATGAATAATTAGCAAATATTACAGCGCTTAATTTGTGAGAAAATCTAAATGTGGTCTGTTTATCCTAATAAAAATGGCCACCCTCCCTACTACTGGTCCGTCCCTTCACTTTTTTACTCTGCGCTCTCCATCATGTGTCCTCTCTGTCCGTTCGCGGCGCTGCTTGCTTTCTCATCAGGTCTGTCTCAGGGGGAACCGGTGAGCACGGTCCAGAGACGCCTCCGAGGGCTGTAGTTCACGGGGACGGGGGGGAAGTGGAATTCCTCTCATGTTTAGCTAGAGTGACTCAGTTGCAGTACATACAGTGCAGCATGTGCCTGCTTCTACAGGTCTGTCCAGCTTTTTTGTCGAACACTTACACAATGTATATAGAGCCGAGTCATGGAGGACACGAGACTGGCATTTACATAACTCACACGGAACCACCTTTGTGACTAACTGTATTTGCACCTGGTGTTGCCGGGCGGCGTCCATTAAAATTATGTCAGCTGTGATTGGGCATTGACCTTTATTTTTCTCCAAGTGCCTGAAAATGTTTGTTTGAATTGTCAAAACAATGTCTGAAATAAATTGATAAACTAAACTAGATGATATTGCTATAGGACTACCAGTATTCTCATAGTATTCACATTTTCTTCTGCAGCCACTTACTCAGTAATATGTAACAACCGGTATCACATGTTTTACTATAACTACAGTGTGAGTAAGTGAGAAGGAAACAACGTCCGGACTCGGGTTGTAATCAGCCAAATAAATTGTATTCCACTAAAGATATGCCCGGTTGATTGAGATTGGCCGGGAGATGTGGCAAAAGCTTTGGAACTATAGCTATGATCCAGGACATGTATGGACATTTTTACGGACACTGGTCTTACCGCTCCCTATGGACCAATGACTCCTAGAACTTTGTAAAGTCCTCCGAGACGACTGCTGTTGTGAATCAGGGTTATTCAAAAATTAATTAAATTGAATTGAGACTGAAAATGATAAAAAAAAAAATATATAAATATATATTGATAAAGAAAAGTGAACCTGGTGAATGAAGAGTTTGATCTGGCTTGCATGTCAAAGCAATCTTTAGAAATCTTTCAGAAAAATTAGTGAACTAACACGTTTGATTGATTAAGATGCCGTCAAACGATTAATCGACTAAATGAATAAATACTGACAGCCCTACTTTGGCTGACTAAAATCTCCCAAAAACAATATATTTATCACACACTCAATACTATCCTGTGCGATGTCTACACACCTTTTAAGAGAAACATGTATTTTTAGCAGCTTGACAGAAAGAGTTTTTACAATCACACAGCAGCAAGTGTCACTCCCCTTTAGTCTGAACTAAACCGGTCCTGTCTGGCACCTCTGATATCTTGTCTGCATATTTCATAACTAGCACAGATGATGAAGTACAGTAATAAGCGTCCTCACAAATGCAAAAGTCTGTCTTGTATTTTCCCCAATAGAGCAACGGAGGTAAATGTCTAGTCATACTCCACACTTCCATATCTGCCTTGAATTATTACACATGTCAGATCGTTTGCATGTCTGATTCATAAACTCTAAATTGTTTAGAAAGTGAAGAAATAGTTTGAAAGAAGTGATGTCCAGTGATGTGGAGTCCTCAGAAGCGCTTGGACATACGAGGATCATTTTTGTCCTGATACAAGGCTGCCCTCTACTGGTGTGAAGCAGTACAAGCAGGATGTAGTTACTCATTCACTGTGGTCGGGGATGCTTCTGCTTATTTTCCCTTCAATGTTGTGGTTTTATGACTGTTTATGAAAGTTAAAGCTTGGGTACTTTACTTTCAAACCACAGCAATTGGACTACATTTTGAGTGGGAGGAGTTAGTTGTATGGGTTTCATTACAGTTTGGCTCCATTGCTAGTTGTCACATGCATGTATTTTTTTTTGGCCTTTTCTTTTTTTATATACTTTATTTTTGAGTTTTTGCCTTTACAATTCAAGGAGAATGTCATCCAATTACATCCAATTACATAAAATGAAAAATAAAAAAACAATTAAAACAGAAATGTAATACAAAAAATACTAATAATTATGATACTACAAATAATAAAACAAAATAATAGTAATAATAATAATAATAGAATAAAATGGGAAAAAAAGAAAAAAGGGGATATTAAATATTTATATATATATATACGCATACATACGTACACACACGTACATATATGTATATATATTTACACACACACACACACACACACATATATATGCTCATACACATAAACATACAGTAAATATATCCATACATACATGCATATTCATTTTTGTAATATATATCTCCTTCATGCACATGCAGCAGTGCGTACACCCACAAAACCAATTTGCGTCTGCTTCATTCTTCCATTGTCTTATTCATACATTATATGCATGTATGCATGTACATACAGTTACTTATAAATAAAATGTGATAGTGGACCAGTTATACCAAATGAAAGAAAAAAAAGGAAAGGAAAAAAATAACATTATGTGACAAAGCGGTGACAACCCTCACTCAGCCCAGCTCTTTCTTACAAGAATGCAAAGGGTTTTCTACTTGGATTAAGGCAGCATGCAGTGGCCTATTTTTCCCCCTCAAAATGTCACTTTTTATAAGACTCTTCTGGTTGGGATAAAGCATTAAATCAGAAGCAAAAATGTTTGTTACCCCAGCTTTCTTCTTTTAAAATCCATTCTTTTGGTATTATATAAGATAAGATAAACTTTATTAATCTCACAATGGAGAAATGTACATGACACATTGGAATAAATAGTCACTGGGGTTGTGCAAAAGACAGGAAATGTGCAAAGATGTTAAAAATGTTGTCTCTTTTGTGCAAGATATATTATGTACGTTAACATTTAGTGGGTGCACTCGTTCCTAAAGTTGCCCTGTTTTTCCACCTGGTCTGGTGCAGGTTCTTCTGTCCCCCTCCCTGTGTTTACCTGATGGGCAGCGGCTGGAAGAAAAAGAAGGAGCAGATGGAGCGTGACGGCTGCTCTGAACAGGAGTCCCAGCCCTGCGCCTTCATCGGCATCGGCAACAGCGACCAGGAGATGCAGCAGCTCAACTTAGAGGGAAAGGTAAAAAAAAAAAAACGCCTCGTGAATCATTGTTTAATTTCACAGTCTGAGATCTGACTCTTGTGTTGCTCTTTCTCTCCCAGAACTATTGCACAGCCAAAACCTTGTACATATCAGACTCCGACAAGAGAAAGCACTTCATGTTGTCCGTGAAAATGTTCTACGGCAACAGCGCGGACATCGGCGTCTTCCTCAGCAAGAGGATCAAAGTCATCTCCAAACCCTCCAAAAAGAAGCAGTCCCTTAAAAATGCTGACTGTGAGTTTGTTTGTTTTTATACTTGTTTTGCCCTCTTTTTTTTTTTTTTTTTTTAAACGCTATTTAAAATGAAAACTCAAGAAGTACTTAGAGGACAGAGTGATGATGGGAGAGAGGTGTAGGGTCAGGGAGTGTTTGTGTGTGTATGTGTGTTGTAAATGAGTGAGAGAGGTGGGGAGCCAATTATCAAACTATGTAACAAGATTTATTTTGTATCTTGTTAAATAATAATAAAATAAAATTGTGAGAGAAATATTAGTACAATATTCATCTTGGACATTTAAAAAATGTGTAGCTCCAGATGAGAATTATGTAGACAATTATTTACTTGTCTACATAATTCTCATCTGGAGATAGACTAAATTCTGGTACATTTTTAACTGTACAAACGTTATATTTTACAAATTTCGACCAATCAGAATTCTGCAAAGGTGGACCAGGACTTGGATTCACAATTTGAAAACACAGAAATTCACTTAAATCGTTCAAGCATCAATATTCAGTCTATTCACCTTTTAGGAACAAGTATTAGCATATGATTATTAAAATACTATATAAACGGACAATTTGTTTTTTAACATAATCGGCCATAACAACTGGGACTAAAAGCTATCTAAGCTCTGAACTTGGTCATCAGGTTCCTCTCAATTGATTTTGATACTAAGTTGAATATTCACTTTGACATTGTGCATATACAAAATGTCTTTATCATCGCTTCTCTTGCAAAACAGACATCAATATGAAAGTCTTGAGACAATTCCTCTTGTGTCCACCAGAGGCCACTATAGCTGTGTTGTCTGCTCTCTCTGCTTCTCATAGATCGATTTGAAGTTACATCATTGTGGCATTTGTGTTTTGTTGACAGTGTGCATCGCATCAGGGACTAAAGTTGCCTTGTTCAACCGGCTGCGCTCCCAGACGGTCAGCACCCGGTATCTTCACGTAGAAGGGGGAAACTTCCACGCCAGCTCGCAGCAGTGGGGCGCCTTCTACATCCATCTACGTAAGTCTCAAGCACCTCATCTGTTGGAGACGTGCAATCACTGCAGAGCGACAATAGTCCAGGTGCAAGTAACACAACCACCAGTTTCCTTAAAACAGTCCTTTTAGATGTGATGTCAAACAATAGGCTGCAATGTGATACTATTGACTTCTGTTTTCTCTCTGATAAACACATTTTCTTGGTCTTTGAATCTTTTCTGACCATGCTTTAAAGAATAAAATAAGAATAATCATCACATAATGGTAAATACACTAATTTCAGATTTTTTTTATAAATCTGAAAAATTGTGTTTGGTTGCCTCAATGTTACTGATGCTCTTGAACAAATGGCACTAAGGCTGTGTTCTGTTTTCTTGGTCTTGTTGCAGTGGATGACGAGGAGTCGGAGGGAGAAGAGTTCACTGTGAGAGACGGTTACATTCATTACGGACAGACGGTGAAGCTGGTGTGCTCCGTGACGGGAATGGCTCTGCCCAGACTGGTAAATACAAGACAATGCATTCATGTTCCCTCAAGGATTTTATGCAGTTGGACAATAACATGAAAATTGTTATAGTAACACTGTGGCAACATTAGCCACAGCACTTTACAACAACAAGGAACCACTCGCCCATTCAAACGCACGCCCAAACCCAGGCACTTGGTGTAATGAACCGAGCGGCGGGTCAGTGACTCCAGCCGCTGTCCCGAGGCTGAAGTAAGAGCAAAGCTAGAACCAAGAAAATGTGTTTATCAGAGAGAAAACAGAAGTCAATAGTATCACATTGCAGCCTATTATTTGACATCACATCTAAAAGGACTGTTTTAAGGAAACTGGTGGTTGTGTTACTTGCACCTGGACTATTGTCGCTCTGCAGTGATTGCACGTCTCCAACAGATGAGGTGCTTGAGACTTACGTAGATGGATGTAGAAGGCGCCCCACTGCTGCGAGCTGGCGTGGAAGTTTCCAAACTTGACTAGATTTTTTATGTTTATATTTTAAGTATAATAGTTCAAATGATTAAATACTGTGAAGCAAAAAAATACTAGCAACAATGCGTGAAGACCTTGTGTAGACTTAACGAAAACATTTGACCTCCTTCATCGCCATTAACAGTGTTGATATGAAAAAAAAAAGATTGATTTTTAAAGATTTTATTTGCAACTGATGGTGGACAGTAAGTATATAGTCAATGATCCATCAGTTGCAAATACCTTCTTTAAAAATCAATAGTGGACTTGCACAATGGGGAACTGACTAAATAGTTTTTTTCCCCTCTGTAAACATTCCTGACCAGCCTTTTTCTCACCTGAAGAGACTATTAAAACATCTTAACCACCTCACATACCACTCCACATAGACCTCTCCTTCTTCGTCTCACTTCATCCTCTCATCTCTCCGTATACAGTATACATTTGATATAGTAAAACAGTATACATATGATAAAATAATACAGTAGGAATAGGATATAATAATAAAGTATGGTATGATGGTGATAAAGTATAATATTGTATAATAGTATAACATTGTAATACATTCAACATATATATGCTAAAACTAAAACTAACATTCAAACCCTATGGGTTCAATCCGACTGTTTCCACCGAACTACCTCATAGGAATCTTTGGATCTAGGCTGCTGCACGGGCATTGACAAAACATACTCTTCTTATCTATCCCTTTTTGTTTTTTTTTTTTTGCAACACTATTCAATAAATAGATAATACTCTCACACAACCCAGACGATAGTGGGGTGTCTGTTCTAGACTAGTCTAGCACAAAAACCTTTCTATCTCTTTTAATGCAACACACACATGACACACAGAAAAAACACCAAAAACAAACAAATGCACCATAACAGATGGATAAGAGGAGTGTATGATCGGTATATGTATATGTATATGTATATATATATATGTATGTATAATAATATAATAACATTCAATTCAATTAGATCACATCTATAAAAAATAAATACATTTAAAAACACATTCAATCCAAACAAGCTTATTTATTGTTGCAGTTATTAATTTTATTATTGCGGATGTTATACTTTATTTCTATTATCACCATCATCATCTTTATTATAATCATTATCAATGTTATTATGCAACAATCGTATATCATTATTCATTATTATTATAATTTAAATGTTATATATATATTTATATGTATATGTTTAAATTTACTATTATATGTTTATAATTATTGTTTGTGTGAATGTATGTATATATGCATGAATATATATGTGTATGTATGTATGTGTAGATATACACTTTGTCTTTCCCTCTCCCCCTCTTCTGTACATAGGAAAAGATTTCTGTAATGCCACATTCACTCTCATGCACACACTCACTCACACACACACACACACACACACACATGCGCGTGCGTGCAACGATTGCTTTTTCTTTCTTGTTGGTCTCACTGTCCTCTCTCCCCTCTTTGTATAGATTCTCCTCTTACGTTGCATATCACTGAAACTGATCACCTATGTTGTCTTTGTTGTCTGTGTTTGCTTCCTGTTTGTCGTATTGTATGTATTGTATTGTATGTATTGTATGTCTATTCTCAAAAATAAATGAAAAAAAAAAATACATATTTGGAGTGACATTTTCAAATCTGTTGTTACTGACTCTTGAATGTTCTGGACTTCATCCATGCATTTCCTTCTCAGATAATACGTAAGGTGGACAAGCAGACGGCGCTGCTGGACGCCGACGACCCCGTCTCCCAGCTCCACAAGTGTGCCTTCTACCTGAAGGACACCGAGCGCATGTACCTGTGCCTTTCCCAAGAAAGGATAATCCAGTTTCAAGTCAGTGCCCAGAGCTGAATACAATCCTCCACATATTTCCACATCAGCTCATAACATGTTTGTCTGTGTCCAGGCCACTCCATGCCCAAAGGAACCAAACAAGGAGATGATCAATGACGGCGCCTCCTGGACAATCATCAGCACAGATAAAGCTGAATACACTTTCTATGAGGGAATGGGCCCCGTCCACTCTCCAGTCACCCCTGTGCCTGTGGTGGAGAGCTTACAGGTACACACACGTTCACATGTGCGTCTTAAACATGACAATATTCAGAGCCTGACTGAGGTCTTTTTATCGTCAGCTTAACGGTGGTGGAGACGTAGCCATGCTGGAACTGACGGGCCAGAACTTCACTCCACAGCTGCGGGTCTGGTTTGGAGACGTGGAGGCGGAGACTATGTACAGGTGCGACACGTTTACATCAACATTTATATGATGAAGGTCACTGGTACTTTGGTGCGTTTAGCTCTGGATGTTTTTACCTGGAGCTTGTAGAAAAGTCTGGAGGGATCCATGAAGGGAACCTCAAGACAATGGCATCCCTGGTCCAAGCACAAGATTCAGCAGGACTTCAGCAGGACCACTCTCTTTTGTATGGGAGTCAAACATGACCATTTTTGTGGCCCCCAGAATGATTTTCATTTATTAGCATTAACTTGCAAGCAGTGGGACAACAGTGGCTCAGTTGGTAGAGTCCAACTTGGGTCGAGCCCACCATGAGACCGTCTCCACTGACTCCCTCTGAGGTCTGCTGTCGTTGTGTCCTTTAGAGACACTTAACCCCGCTTTTATTTATATGGCCCCTTTCTGGGCACTCGAAGTCGCCTTACAAAAAAAAAAACAGTTAAATAATTCTCAAAGGCAAAATCTCAATGAATGTAGAATTAAGAAAAAATAGACTGAGTCCTTGGTGTGAACAAGTACCAGTAGTTTGACGCTGCTGCTCTATAGTTCTTTTGTCTCTATTTAGTCAAAAGATTCATACCGTGTTCACATTCACAATCCCAAAGCATAAGTGACTGAATATAATTATAAACAATTCCCTTCTGGAAGTATTCAATTTGTTTAAAACTGAGAAAGACTGAAACAGATTGAACAATGTGAAATATGTTTGCTAACGCTAACCATGCACAGGTGCGGGGAGAGCATGCTGTGTGTGGTGCCCGACATCTCGGCGTTCCGCGAGGGCTGGCGCTGGGTGCGGCAGCCGGTGCAGGTGCCCGTCACTCTGGTGCGGAACGATGGCATCATCTACTCCACCACGCTCACCTTCACCTACACGCCCGAGCCTGGTCCCCGGCCGCACTGCAGCGCCGCGGGGGCCATCCTGCGCACTGGGAGCGCCAGCCTCATGAACAGCCAGGACGCCGTCAACCTGTACGGGCCCCCAGGGACGAACCCCGGGGTCACGTCCTCCACCGCCGCCGCCGTGGTCTCCTAACGCACAAGTCAGCTTTTACAGACTGCAGAGGACTGACTGACTCCCTCAAAGTGCTGAATTTTTGGATGCAAAGTCAAAGTGGGGCAGGGGAAGCGGGAGGGGTCTGACATGTCCTGCCCGTCCACTTCCTGCTGCGAGGGCGGGCTCAGAGCACCAGCACCTTTCTACAGCTGTGAGAACATCTGCCGCCAAAAAGATCCGACATGTTGGGAATACCGCTTTAGCCGCCAACCACTTGTTTTATACTGTTCCCAGTGTGGTTCCCACGCAGGTGGATGTGGCCAGATGCAACGGGACACACACTTGTGCCGAGCGCATCCTTTTTAATGGACCAAGGATCTTGTATAAGCTTTAGTAAAGGTACATTTTTCTCCATACCTTTTTTGTATTAAACATATAGTACATTTTTGTTACCAAATAGTTTCTACTCTTCCTCTGAGCTCGGGCGTTGTTCCCTGGTCCAGAATCCCAGCCTGTATTTTATGTGAACTTCCAAATGCCTGCTCCAGTCTTCTGAAGTTCACTTTTCTTTTTGATACTCTCTTCTTCTGTTGGGAAATTTCAAGTCTTGGTTTTGTATTTACATAAGCGGAGGTTGTTTTGTTTTATAATTGGGGAAAAACCTCAGAGGGCCTATTTTTATCATTGGTTTTTATGAAGTCTTTAAAAGAAAAGCTTTAAGCAATGCCTCTGCCTTGCCTGCAATACTTCTGTGGCTATGTCTCAGTACTGTCCCTCTGACAGGAGCCATAGCAGAACCTAGAACAAGACTTCCATGGTTCAAACTAGAGACATGTTCAAACTAATGTAATAAGTAGTCACTGACTCAAACTAGCCTTAGTACTGTATATTGACTGTGTACACAGTGGACCCAATCACATATCTAATGGCCTATATCTGTCGCCCTATTGGTCACTGTACACATATCCGTAACATGAGGACGTGGCCTCTGCAGGGAGTCTTCCAGTGCGCTCTGCTCCAGCCGCTCTTACTCCAAAAAGTGGGGTGTGATGAACAGACACTTTTCAATTTGATGTGGCCTTACCGATAATTTCAATTTCCAAATGTGTCACCTTTTCTCTGCTGTTTACTCATCATGAAGAAGCTGTGCTGAGCACAGACACGCTGTGGCCTCTTCTCAGCCTTCTCTTCAGTGTAAAGTCCAAACCTGTTTTTATGACCGCGTGGTGCCCGGCACCTTCACTTTGGTACCGTATGTGTGAGCGCTGTAAGCTCTGTAAGCTCCGTCAGCCTTCTAGCCTTTACAAAGCTCCTGTGGTTTTCTCTTTGCTCAAACTTACACTATGTACATGTAAAGTCACTGTTCTGTAGTTGCACTCACAGCGCCTCCTGTTGGAGTAAAAAGGCCTTCTACCTGTATTGTTGAATATTGCATTTCCAACAGCAATACTGTACAGGTCATTTGTGTTTTCATTGTTTTCCTGCCTGAGCACTAGTTCACCAGCCAGCAAATATAAATATAAAATATATATATGTATGTGTGCGTATGCGTGTGTCTTGCATATTTGCTGTAATGGAAAAATGAGTCAGACTCACTCCATTTCAAAGTGTGAATCCCAAAAACAAACTGTGGTTTGTGTCTTCCACCAGAATCCAAATGTCTGCTCAAGGCAAACACACGTTTAAAGGCAATACATGTGTCCAGAGAGTTCTGTCCCAGAATACTGCGACGGGACGACACCTGGGGTCACCTGAATGTCTAATGAAGTCTTTCAATCTGTCAAACCACGCCTCCAAATAACAACATGAACAAACTGGATTTTTCTTGTAAAAAGTCAGATTAAGTTATGCCCCATAGGTTGATTATTAATTTTAAATGTGTTATATTGTAAATTCTTAAATTATTGGTACTCCCTTGTCCCCTTGTCTTATGTCACGATAAAGTGCATTATCACCCTTGCTGCCTGGTTTGGCCTGGTTTGGCCTGAGTGCATGAGGTGGACCACTCCCGCCGCTGCTGCTCTGTGTTGCAGCGTGTAGCATCTCGTACACGAGTCTTTTTAACAAGGCCAAACAGTGAAACCCTTTAGTCTGCAAACTAACATACACCTTTCTTTCTCAATTCGACCTCTTTTCCTCCTCCTCCTCCAGTGAATCCTGTTTACTTATCGTCCAGAGTTTCTTCGGACGCGACATTGGCTCACAACGAGGGCTGGTCCTCACGGTCGCCCTGACAATCCGAGCTGGTTTACAGTTTGAAACAAAGCAAAATTCTTCTTCTTCTACACGTTAAAGGGGTGGTTGTTACATGCCTTTTTGCTGTATCCTTCTCGACACTCTCGCGCTTCGTTATTTCGCTCCATACTGTACGTCCGGTTTTGATCATGTATGTGCCCTTCTTCCAAAAGCAGCTGTTCATTTGTGTTATTGTTTTTTTTATGAGCTCTGAACAATGTATGTACCCTCTAATATGCCAAATGTCTTTTTATATAATGTAGTTTTCATGCACTGCTAAACAAACAGGGCCGAGTGAGTGGCAGCTTTAAACTATTATGAAAAAATCACAAAAAAATCGGAGTGTGGAGCCCGTCTGTCGCACTCAGCCTTACTTCTCCGTACAGACTTCATAAGTGGCTGTTTGCACTAGACGCTACCACTCACTTTTTTTCTCTCAACTTTTCGACAGTATTCTCATTGTTTGTTCGCGATACAATTTTTGCATCCGATCCTGTCCGCGCCTACAAACATTCACACACAGCTCTTGGTTTCAACTGGACCGCTTCTTCTCCGGCTTTTTCACTCTTCACTGTAATAATGTATTGAACTAGTCAAAATAAAGAGGTGTCATTGTGGTAGTTTACGCTCAAAAAGGGTCGCTGATGGTAGAGAAACCTGTGCCGTTTGTTAACAGTTTAGCAATAAATAAAATAAAACAAAAGGGGACATTTTTTTTTATAACATTAGTTTGTTTTTTTGTACATATTGCAGCTCCAGATCATGCTCAAATCTGTATGTCATTAAAAGAAGAAAAAAATAAGAAAAAAAACTTGCAATATTGGCATAAAAACATGAATAAAAACGTGATATAAAAATGTTATCCGTGTATTGTTTTTTTAATTCATATTTACATGTAACAATTTTGCACACAGGTACAAATAAACATTAGATTTGGAGTAAAGGGACAGTTTTCCACAATGCATGAATGAGCAATAGTTTTGTCAGCGGCTAAAACGAGGGCCGGAGTGGTGTGGCTGCAGGTTTTCATTCCAACCAAGCAGGAGCACATACCAGACTCCACCCATTTCCACGAGCGAGTCCGGTCTTGAACGTGGAAACCTGAGGAAATGGGTGGAGTCTAGTCTGGTTATATGCTCCTGCTTGGTTGGAATGAAAACCTGCAGCCACACCGGCCCTTTCTGGAACCAGTAGAAAAACAATTGTTACATTGACGTCTCCAGGAGCTAATATACAGTAAACAATAATCCTCACAAAACTACTATATAAGAAATGCAATGGGGCTGATATTTTTCTAGCAATTTACAATTCTATCTTTAAAATATCCCGGGTTTTCCTTTCTAAACATTCAAATAGGTTGCGTTCATGTTTCGGCCTTCTATTTCACTATTTCAGCAGGAGCCAATACAGCTCTATGGGAAAGAAGCAATATTTGAGTTTGAAAAAGATCGTCATTTGAGAGTGAGGAGATTTACAAAATTCGCATGGCGCCAGAAAAATGAGGTGGGTGTGTACTGTTGGTACACACTGGGGTAGCCTTGTGCAGTTTCTCCAATGTGGTTTTACTGCAAATTGCAAATACATTCTTGAATCTTGAATATGATAATTACGTCTGAAGATGTTTTTTTAAATGGTCACCGAAGTCCAAGAGGATTTCCTGAATGTTTGTAACAACATTTATGTAAAAATATATTGTATACAATATATGTATATAGGGCGGCACGGTGGCTGAGTGGATAACACTCTCGCCTCTCAGCAAGAAGGTCCTGGGTTCGAATCCCGGTCAGACCAGGGCCTTTCTGAGTGGAGTTTGCATGTTCTCCCCGTGTCTGCGTAGGTTTCCTCCGGGTACTCCGGTTTCCCCTACCACTAAAAATATGTCCAATGGTTCTGGCATGTGCCTCCTGTACTGGCGACCCCGCTCCCATCTCTGTGTGGAGTGAGAGACAAATGCCCAAAATTAACAATTGTAAACAGCTTTGAGACTCAGATCTGCAGTGAAAAGGCGGTATATAAATAAAAACTTACTTACTTACTTACTATACAATTTTTTTTTTTAAGTGATTAGATCTAATAGCATAATACTTTACTCAAACAGATTTATTGTTTTCATCCAGAAGGAAATTCAGGACATAAACATCAAAATGAATGTACGATTCAAATTTTTATGTTAAATAAACGGTATACAGTAGTGAAGGTTGCGATTCGCTTCATGCCTATTTTACGGATCCCTGTTTCAAAAGTTTGGGAACCCCTTTATTAGACCATCGTTTCAAAAGTTTGGGAACCCCTTGATTAGACCATTGTTAATATGCACTGACACAGAAGTGGACTGGCCCAGAATCTCAGAGACATTTGCTAAAAATAATAATTAATTAAAATAATTACATTTGTTAAAGTCTAGGCTCTTTGGAACGTTGTGATGTCACATGAACGCACCCTTTTGACAGCACACATGAAACAATAACCGACCATCCCGTATAGAAAAAAGCTCACATAAGCACAGACTAGATCCAATGATTTCATACAGAACTATATTGAATTGTTAAGGCTGTACTTCAGACCCATTAAAACACATACAAAAAGCATCAAAAGGCTGCTACTATACATTCAAGGCAAAATGACTCCATGTTTGCCAGCTTTTTATCACAAATGCCTGCAAGATTCAATACATGATATAGGCACATGCACAACATACTGTATATAGAGTTTGTTCAACACAACAGAAATCACCGGAATAAGAAAAAATACAAAGAAACATGGTTGCTACATTTATGCTGCTATTTTTAAACTCCAGTAAGTGGAAATCAGATGCTGGGAATATGCTCTTTTGAAGCGGTGTGTACAGGTGTGGCGATTCCCACGGCGAGATAAGGCTGCTCCACTTTCTCATAACAGAAAAGTGGACAACGCACACGCGCACACACACACACAAATATAATGTCAAGGTCGGCTGTTGAACTCCAGCTTTTACAAGATTGTTTTGAAGCTTCTGGGTAATGGGAGATGACTGCACGCCTGTGGGAAGCATGGACGTAATGTTTTGACCTCCATGTTCTGACGTGGCAATCCAGGATTTGGTTTGAGATCTGCCAAATACACGTTTGGGATCGAAGGCTCCAATGTTAAGGTCAAAATGACAGCTAAAGTAAACTAATTGTAATACTTAGACTCAAAACTGTAGTAAGCTAACAGTTTTGAGTCTAAATTTAATTTCATGCAGGATGTGAGTAGAAGTTTTAAGCTAGGAGCGCACACTTCAATACAGGTGAAACTGGGAAAATTAGAATATTATTTAAAAGTCAATTTACTTGCAATTTAATGTAATCCAATTTAAACTGTGGAACTAATATATGACAGGCAAAGTGAGGTATATCAAGCTAGTATTTGTCTATAATGTTGATAACTGGCTCACAGCTTGTAACAAAACATCTACATTTTTCTTTATGTAAAAATTTGGCCAAAAGCAGTAACTCTCCCTGACTCAGGTTAACAGATATGTAGACGAATCCAGCTGGGACCATAATATCTGTCAACAACAAATCTATAACCAACACCTTTTTCACATAGATATAATTCCTGGTTTTAATCCTTGTTTTGTCATTTAATGATTTGAGAATCATAACGAGAAATGTTTTAGTTCTGCGGCCACATGGTACTTTACCAGCGAGGTTAGTTTGACGTGGTGAGATCTGGCGCCCGGATCAAGGACTTTCTGATTGGTTAAACGGTGGAGGGCGGGACATCGAAATGAAAACCATAACAAGATTTAGGGGCTGTAAAACTAATTTTGAAATGAAAATATCTCGGCTGAACTACTGTTGTCAGTTAAAGAAGTATTTGAATAGCGCATGTTTTGTTAACGCCTTTTGACAGATTAGGGCCCTTTAATGATGACTTGACATAAAAATCTTACAGCTACATTAAGCCATAATTCTCAACATAATAACAAAGTCTTGGCATATGTCACTATGCAATAAGAATTTTCCGAGTTTCCCCTGCAATGTGGCTTTCTGTGACATCCAACATGTTGTGACTGTTTGAAAGTTTTCATATTTTTACTCTCACAGTAGTAATACTTAAAATGACCCTGAAAACCATGGATTAAATACAACCAACGATCCCCATATTCTACTCCATGTAAAATGAGTCCAGGGCTTCTATGAAAAAACGATATGAAAAAATAGTAATAATAGCAATAATTATACACAAAATCTGTCTGGTTGTGTGTATCATAAGCACATATCTTTGGCTTGGCTCATAAACCATAGAAAGCTCTTTCTTTGTGTAAGATCGCTCGGCCACTGTTGCCCCAGAGCATTTGATGTTTAATCGAGCAAGTTGAATGTGTGAAATCCGTTCTTTTTTCCTCCATATGATATTTTTATATCATAAAAAAGTGACACTATAGTGCACCATAGTGACAGTTTTAGGCTCTCCAGTGGTATTGGGTGGGATACTTTGGTTAAAAAATCTGTATTATAGACTGAATTAACTGATTTTTGTCTGTGTGTGTGTCTATTTTTTTTTTTTTTTACATAAATTAAGACTGTATACTAAATGTCCCTGATTTGGTCTTGGATAAGGCAATTGTGTAAAAACCTTACTAAGTTGTTTTTGTTAAAAATCAATTGACACTGGCCGATCACGAATACCCGTCTTAAAAAAATGCAAACGATTTGGAGAGAGTTGCCGAGTAAAACTGGTCTCTCAGGTTTACAATGTTAACTTTTTTTGGGAACAGAGGCAACATTCATCTCTGTGACACGCTCAAAACACATCCTGGTTCAACTATTCCTTTGAGTAAACACGAGCGCTTCTGTGCCCAACTCTACGCCTTCTGTGCCATCCCAAAGAGAAGCCGCTTTTCCTTTATACAATCTTACTTCAAAGTCATTCGCCAACTTCTCCGCTCCGACCAACGGCTTTAGGTCATGTCATTCCACGTTAAAGTTCGCACTCCGGTGTATGTAAACTTGGTGCTGGCCCCACTCGGCGGCGTGTGCCCGTTTTTCTCTGCTTTTCCCCGTATAGTCCCGCCATTTCCACCTCCATTTCCACCGCCATTTCCACCAACGCCTTTGATCGTGGTGCCGGACCTGCCTACAGAGCTGCCTCCTGGCTTTTTGGCGCAGCAGCTGAACGTGGAAAGCATGCCTTGGCGAAACCTCTTGTTCATGAAGCAGTAGATGATGGGGTTGACGCAGGCCGAGGTGTAGGACAGCAGGTGGATGAAGGAGATGGGGGCGCCCGTGAGCTGGTAGGCCGAACGCCGATCGAAGGCCTGCCACGCGTTGACCACGAACACCGGGGTCCAGCAGAGGAAGAACAGGCAGACGATGACCAGGAGCATTCGGATCACGCGTTTCTTGGCCATGAGGTTGGCCGTGGGGCTGCTGCTGCTGCACACGCGGCCCACCACCGACTTGGAGCTGAAGGGGCCGGAGCTCTTCTTCTTGTTGGACGGTTGGAGGTAGCAACCGTCGCTGTCTCCGGGTTTTATGCTGCCGGTGCTCGCTTGGCGCTCTGTGAAAGGAGAGACATGGTGAGTTTTGAGTTTATTTTATTCTATTTTACCCTCAATAATAGATCCTGTTTGATGTGAGCAATCTGAGTGCTCTTATTTACTTCTTTTCTTCTGCTGTAATGTGCGCTACGATGACACTGAAATTTCCTCTCTGTATAAAGGAACAAAGGAATATCTCATCTTTTTGAAAACAGCAGACGAGGCTGGAGTGCTTCTTGGATGTAAAAATGAAGTAAGGAAAAAAGTTAACTTTTGGTGCTCTTCAGCGGAGGGACCAATGTTGAAAATTCAGACCGAAGACTGAGGCACTCAAACGTTGCAAAAATCTTTTAAAGCCTTTATTACACATGGCAAAAGAGGTTAAAATTACGCCTACGCGTTTCAGCCTTCTGGCCTTCTTTAGGGCATACTGCCTCTTTCTTCTGTCTGAATATCTCATCTTGTCTGCATTTCTCTAAAGGTACATAGGATGATTTCTGTAAAATATCTGTTGTTTACTGAGAGAATTTTTAGACCCACCCACGCTCATTCTTACTGTCTCCTGATTGGACAAAATGAAATACAATTCTTAATTGACAGGAGAGACGCTTCCCCATTGGTCTAACTATTCTCCCCCAGCAAATCTGAGGTTATGTCAAAGGGAGGGACTATTTTAGATTTACATTATTTTTAAAAAATTACTTACTTTGATATAGTATAAGAAACACATTTTATAAATACTATATGGGTGATACGAACTCATCAAATAAGGCCAGAGATTGTTGTTAAAAAAGTGGAAATTGTGGTTCTTTCCTAAAATGTGGGAAAATCCTCTTATATATCTTTAAGTTATTGATATCGCCTTAAAGGGGATGTATGCAACTTTTTATGAGAGAAGAAACCAAAGCTGAATGTTTTTGCCCTTGTAGTGCCACACTGTAAAGTCAGCAGCTTTGTGATCACGGTTATGTCTACTCCAGGATCCAATGTCAAGATAAGAGCAAATAAACCTTGATTTGTCTCTCAGCGGAAAATTAACAGTTACTCTTTTTGTAGATTTTCTGCTCCTCAGGTCCCGCCGCAGGGAAAACCTTTGATCCTGTAGCATCCTGTAGACCTCTGTGATTGAAAGTAAAGGCACCATGCTGACCACTCCTACAGCCGCTGGGTCACTACAAAAACACATCTACTGAAAAATCCACTTTAAAGCTCTCATGGGCAGTAGGCATACAGTAGATCCAAGGATTTCATGAATATTAAGTTTATTATCTAAAAATCTAAATCTTGATTGAAGCACAGAGGACTTTAATGAGGTTTTTTGCCTATTTTTCCCTCTTTTATAGAATAGCACCTGTTGTTGTCTGTAAATGTAGTCTCAGTGGCTTGACTCATGAGTTTACTTCTGTCAAAATTGAGTTGAATCTATATTTTCTGTTTTGTAGTTATGTCCACGTCCTCCCATCCCTCCAACAGCCACCTCCCGCAGTGACACATGCCTCAGATCGTGCCACACAGACTGAAGCCGAAATATGCGGCTATTTGGTTTGATTTCATTCAGTCGTTGTCGTGTCTGTCATTCCTTCCTGTTTAAGAGTCGCAACAGAAAGTGAAGAACCATGTCGTCTTTTGGAATAACCTACATAGTTCGGAGGCTGCGGTTGTCGGCGGAGGCTCTAACATTGATGGAATTCTCCATCAAGGGGGAAAAAAAACTATAGAGTGGAAAATAGGCTGGTCTCACGCACCTGTTATATTCTTTGTTCAGACTTCAAAACATTTATTCTATACAATCTACGGTATACTCTAATAGTTTTCACACAAATGTCTCCAAACTTCCAGGGCTGATGTTAGTCTGACTTTCTGCTATTGTTGTTATAATACGAATATTAGAATCTACATAGAAGTCACTAAACACTGGATAGGACATGGTGTAGAGATTTTAGAAAATGCAGAGGAATCTTCTTACACTGACTACATCTCTTCAACACGAGAGGCCCCAAATATTCCATCCTGGTTATTAACCCTTTAGGCGCCAGAGTTTTTTCAAGAAAATATACAATTTTGATTTCAAGATTTCAAAAGGCTATAACTTTAAAATGGTTTGAGATAAAGGCATACTGTAAATTAGAAATATCTTCAGTTTGAACCAAACTTTTGGATGGAAGTTGATTCGTCATCTAATTTGCATATTGTGACGTCATCAAGGTGGCGGCCATTTTGGAAAATCTTAATTATTTTATAAAGACTTCAAAAAGCTGTAGCTTGGGAGTTATTTGAGATCAGGGAATACTATAAACAGTCAATGTGAAATATCTTTAGTATGAAATGAATTTGGGATAAAAATAAATTCCCTGATCCAGATTATAGATAATGTTTTAGCACTGGTTCGCGGCAACATGGAATTGTATTGTTTTCAAAGACCTTCAGTGATCAAGACAGCACTTTTTATAGTTTACAGTCATGAAATCTTGAGATTGGTTTCAATATTTCCCTTTCAGAGAAGTAGTGGGATTACTATTTTTCTCAGTGGAAATGAGGCTCCAGGTTTTACCGTTTAGAAACAGAGAGATGAAATGAATGGGCTCAGAACTTGTCAGATCGTCTCAACAACATACAACAGGCTCTTCAACACTTCTGATCCACTTTTGTGGATTATTTTCTCTCAAGAACTGCCTTCATCCTCATCATCACTGCTGGTAAAGGCAGTGAACGCGATTAGCGATGTGTTTTTTTCCCGCGGCTCTCCCGCGACTTCTCCCGCGTCTCCCGTGTTCCCCGTGGATGTTTACCCCCGCTACTTTCTCCCACATGCCCGGTGTTATGATGCCCCTGTCCCCTCCACCACGGCCCCTGCTTGGCGTTCACAGAATGCTTCTACCGCGGCCACACGGAGGACAAGCAGCCGCTGTACAGGGGCTGATTGTGGACTATATGGCGCGGTCTCCCCGTCACCAATAATGTCCGTGTCTGCTTCACTGGACACCTGCGTGTCTTCCTCCTCTGAATCTGAGTGAGCCAGAACCAGACCAAGTACTTCTCTGGTACTGAAGACCTCGTGAGTAAAATAAAAAACACTCTCTCCCTCTGCTCTGCTCTCGCTCCTCTCAGCTCTACCGCTGCTGCTTCGCCTCCGCGCCGCTGCGCCGCAGGTGATTTACGAACTCAATTTACTCAAAAACTTTCAATATAACCACACCCACAAATGTTGCTCATATTACAGGCACACATGTCCACTAACCCCTGGTGAAAAGTATTAACAAGATTCTGCACCACATTTTTACATACAGCCCGTTTAAGTGAGCAATGTTGCTTGTCGCAATATTGCGACTTTGGCGCTTAAAGGGTTAATATTAGTGGCATGATAAACCATTAGACCATTATTATTTTATCATTCACCTTTATCTAACCAGGTCCCACTGGGATTTCCAAAATGTCTTATTCAGGGGAGTCCAGGCCTTAGAGATTATTCATTCATTCATTCATTCCTTTTAAACCCGTTTATTTGTCCATTTCTGGGTCGGGGGGGTTACTCATAGCACCAGTCCGTCGCTGATCCTCTGCAGGTGGTGAGTCCACAGGAAGATGGCTGCTCCGTCAGTGGTGACACAGCCTTGGTCTTTCAGCGGGGGCTTCAGACAACGTGGGGTTAAGTGTCTTGCCCAAGGACACAACAACAGTAGACATTTGTTGGAGCAGTTGGAGTAGGTCCCATGGTGGGCTCGAACCCACGACCACCAGGCCCAAAGGCCAATGCTCTACCAACTGATCTACTGTTGTCTCACCTCAGAGATTATACATGTTTTTAATGGTAGGGGACAAAATCCGGAGTGCCCAGAAGAAACCGGGGCACCAGGAGACACCCTTCGCATACATACGGAGAACATGCAAACTCCACTGAGAAAAGGCCCTGTCCGGGGGTGGAATCAAACTCAAGACCTTGTTGCTGAGAAGCGGGAGTGTTCTAACCGTTCAGTCACTTTGGAGCCAAAATATGTATTGTTTATGGATCCTCGCTTGATAAAAGGGAAGGTTTGTTAGTATTATGTAGGTACTTTGTCATTACAATCAGAAAGTATTTGTGGCTTATAATAAACAATATACTGTAATACAGGCTGCGGATACTTTACCATCTTTACATACAATAATCATTCCTACATACATCTTACTTTTTGCACATTTTCTTCCAGAACTGTCCATGCTCTTTTCCGTCACCTTTTTCTCCCAACAGAGCTCATGTTTATCCAGCTAGATTTTATTATACAATTTAGCCACAGGAAAAAATATGTAGGTCATGCATTCAGAGCCTGCGATGAGTGTTTCTTGTCCATACCCCGACTGGCCTTCCTGCTCGACAGCTCGAACTTGATGCCTCTGTAGAGCTCCATGGAGATGAGGCCGTACGCCGTCATCATCACGATGCCCGGGATGAGGAAGAGGATGAGGAGCAGGGACACATACCTGCAGGGAGCACAGTCAGCACATGTCATCTGTTTCTCTATCATACTGTGTGTCTACATCAGCCCGCACTTTTCAGCAGAACCTCAAGGTGCTTTTCCTCTCTGAGATAAAGCACTGTGCCTTGTGTCACATGAGGATTCATTCACTGATTGATCCACGAGTGTTTTAATCCTGTACTGTATTACACTTGAGTGCTCAGGATCTGTATCTCCCGCCACTACACTAATTACTTGTATTTGCAGCTCATATATGAAAGATTAAACTTGTCAGAGCTATAATTCTCTTGAGTTTTATGAGGTCAGAGAGTGCTTTTCATGCATTTACTTCACAAGCTCTGTGCCGATTGACCCTCAACCACTGACAGAAGAGAAACTAAGCAGAGTTTCTCTTCTCCTGTTGCCGTTAGCATTCACATGTTTTTTTATTTTTAAACACCTTTTAAGAATCCTCTAATGTATGCTGGCCTAGAAATGTAAAGGTTTTGGTCTGAGGTCGCAGCACACAGACAGCCTGTACTATACTGGCACAGCCCTGAGTGAGGTCAGTCATGTCACATCAGCAAGCCTCGCCCTGGTCCTTCAGGGACATGACAGTCCTGAACAGTGAGTCTGGGCCCCTCCTGATCTAACCCCAGAGACCCCCATCAGGGACTCGAGGCATTTGTCCACTGCTGCACACAGGGGCGGTACAGAGCAGGACTCCAATATTGTCTATGGGCCTCTTTTTTTCAAAAATCTTTCAATTTCTCAAGCGGGGAAAGCCTGCAGAGCATGGGCTCCTTCACTGTTGGATCATAATAAGCCTTCACACATGGAGCTGAGGAAGAGAGCTCTGATAATTAAACACAGACAGAACATGACACGAGGATGTAGGATCTCTGTTGCGTTAATGCAGTGATTGGATACTATGTATGGTGGTCATGGTTCTTGTGGCGGTCATGGTTCTTGTGGAGTAGATGGCAACAGCAATCGACAACAAAGAATTTGCTATAAGTGTCTTCATAGACCTGAGCAAGGCCTTTGACACCATCGACAATCCGCTTCTTTTAAATAATCTACAAAGGTTTCGTGTCAGGGGACCTGCTTATAAATGGCTGCAGGGCTACCTCAGCAAAAGAGAACAGTTTGTGCGCATTAATAATGTTGATTCTAAAAGAAATAATATTACCCATGGTGTTCCACAAGGATCCATATTGGGGCCTAAATTATTCATCATTTATATAAATGATATATGTGATATTTTGAAAAATGTCAATTGTATAATATATGCAGATGACACAAGCCTTTATTGCTCGGGAAATGACATCACAAAACTTATTAATATCATGGAAAAAGAGCTAACTATGTTAAAGGAGTGGTTTGATAACGATAGACTTTCAATGAATCTTAAAAAAACTAAATATATTATTTTTGGGAACAGGAAAATCAATGTTTCAACTAATATTCAAATTAATAATGTAGCAATTGAACGGGTGTTTGTAAATAATTTCTTAGGAATAACTGTCGACAACAAGCTTTATTGGAAGCCTCATACTAATAATTTCAAGTTAAAACTGGCCAAAAATATTGGCATAATTGGGAGGCTGAGGCCTGTATTAGAGAAGGAATCTCTGCTTTTACTGTACAATTCTCTTGTTCTTCCATATTTAAGTTATGGAGTTGAATTATGGGGAAATAATTACCGATCGAATGTTAGGCCCATATTTGTACTTCAAAGAAAGGCTATTAGAATAATCAATCAAGCAGATTTTTATGCATCAATAAATCCGATGTTCATCTCATTAAATACCTTAAAAGTGCTCGACATTGTTGACTACAATATATTGATTGTCATGTACAAGGCATATAACAACCTTAGTCCACCTTGTATCCAGAAACATTTTAAACTAAGAGAAAGTCTGTACAGCCTTAGGGGAACTGGTTATTTCAAAAAGGACTGGGCAAGAACAAACATAAAAAGTAGATGTGTCTCAGTGAGTGGAGTCACGTTATGGAACAATCTCGAGGACCATTTAAAAACAGCAAAAACATTGAAATTGTTTAAAAGGGGGATTAAATACAAAATCGTTGATAATCGTTGGTCTGAATATTTGTGACTTGGCTATAGGCTAAACCTTTGTTTACTTTTGTTACTCATCGTTACTGGACGTTACTGATACTGTATCAGCTTGTATATTTTGTGTTCCTATGGAAACGATCCGTTTCCTTGTACTGGGTCAGGCGAAATAAGTTTAACTTCAGCCTGAACCCTTTGGTCGCATATTGTTTTCTGTTGTTTTGTTGACAGTTAACTGTAACTTTGTTTTCATGCTTGACCGAATAAACTACTACTACTACTACTACTACTATGCTTTTGGCCTCTCTGGACTCTGAAGATTCTGGAGTCTGTGCTTTTACAAAGAAATATGTATGCACATAAATTTGTCAGCTCAAATAGTACATGTTTGTAGTTTGTAACAGTGACGTGGCGTCATACAGGGAGTTGTTAAACCAGTTGTCCTACTCCTCAAAGAGGATCTGACCTTTTACTCTGTAGGATCTAGAAGCTAAAGTAGATATTTCTAATCCTTTGCCGACGCCAAACATACAAGACCTTTTTACGACCCCCAATGAACAAAGTGCTTTCAAAGAGCTCCTTTAAAGCACTGAGGCCTCACCAGGACTGCTGGATGATGTCGTTGGGCCACACCAGACGACACATGTGACCCGTGCTGTTGTTGAGGCGCGTGAAGGGCTTCAGTGTGCTGAAGATGGGGTACGGTAACATCAGCACGAAGGAGGCGGCCCACGTCGCTGTGATCACCTTGGCTGCGTGTGATTTGGTCTGCCAGCTGCGTGAGGTGAGCGGGTTACAGATGGCACTGTAGCGCTCCAGGGAAATGGCCACAAGGTTGAAGGTGGAGACACTGACGGACACCCCTGTAAATGAGAAGACACGCAGTCAGACCGGAATGGGCCTGGTTCTAGACTTTAAACACTCATGATGCCAGGCTTCGAGGCTTTTCAATTATGATCAATATACAGCATAGATGTTACACACATGTTGCTAGGGCAGTTTGTGAAGGAGAAACAAAAAGATGAGGACCACCAGGCATGTTGACCTTGGACAACTGTGTGAAGGCCCCCCGCCTGGGAGACGTCTCAGACCTGCACCTGCAGCTTCATTCTACAGCCTGAGTCCTGGAGCGGATTCCTCTCTCAATATGGGCCTCCCCGAAGTTTTAAACTTTTTTGAGTCTTCCCTGGCAGAGGGTCATAGGACAGTGATGATCCAGGACATTTATGGTAATTTATTGACAATTATGGACTTTGGTCATCCCGCTCCCCATGGACCAATGGCTTCTATGTATTTGTTTACATTTTTGGTGTTCACAAAAGAGTAGGATCAGAGGTGTCAATCATCAAGTCGTTTTATTATCCCAGCCTTGTAGCTCAGCGTGAAAGAACGGATGCCCAGGAATTGGTCTAAAATGAGGAATACACACACAAAAAAAGCACAAAATCCAATCCCAAATGCAGGCAGTTCACGCACATGGAACACAATTTTCTCCTCCTTCTCATCCCAAGCCCAACTCAACTGAATCTCTAATTACCCAGAAAACCAATTTACAGAGCCCTCACAACTCCATCATTTGTCTATGCTTTCTCGCTATCTAAATAATCTTCACCCTTTAACTTTTCACTCGTGGTGTTTGTAATGTTTGCTCTCCATCATCAGTATTTCTCATCCCTGTATTCTTAAAGCTACATTGGTCACATGGTCCGCTACTAAAGCCATCTGCCTGCAGCTCACACTTTGTAACAATAACTCAACATCTGTCTATGAATACGACGTGCAGCACCACATAAACACACTAACACAACAATGAATGAGCCAATAACAGCCACGACAACTTCCTCGCCTCATCCAGCTTCGGAGAAACATTTGACTCTTTATTAGATTTCACAGAAATATTTAGGACGTAACAGCATTTGTGTTCATTCTAATGTATTACATTGCCCCAAACTAATATTCAGAGGTTATCAAATGTGATGTGATGCAGAAAATGCACTAATCTCATTTGCATTGATGAGTCACTATAACACCGCAGAGGCCCTTTAAGTCATGAGTATTCATCTTTGTCTAAAGAAAGGAAAAGGACGCAATCAGATTAGGTGGAATTCATGGAAACTACCAACATTTGGTTTTCAGCCCTGTTTGTTTTGCGTAAAGGATCACCCTGGAGACCAATCTAAAGAAACTCTGATGTTTCTGACCGGTTAGATGAGGATTTAGTCTGAATGAAAAGGTGTAGTGAGAGCAGATACAGAGCCGCAGGCTGTTTGTGGCCTGTACATTATGTGCCAGACTAAACCACCACATCATGAACACATGTGTCCTGTGTTCACATCATGTAAAACTGCTGCGTACTGTCATGGACTGTACTGTCAGAATGGGTTTAGAGCTTTGGATTGTGGGGAACACGGAGCGCCTGGAGGAAACCCAACCAGCACAGGAAGATCCACTTTAACTCCACACAGAACAACCTGCGCTGACCCGAGCGTTCTTACAACCTTCTTACTGTGAGGTCTGAGGGCTGCCCACTCAGACACTCTGCTGCTTCCCATCACAGTCATAACATTGTTCTTATAACGGACCTATTCTTATTTTGTTGGTATAATGTGGTCTTTTTTTTGTGTTAAATAAAACTCATTTTGACAGATAGTTTCACCCTTAGCGGTTTCTATCAATAATTATCATGCAAAAAGAAATTCACGGAAAAATTGCCAAGACCGGAAGTGACGTACACGTAGGGATCTTTGGGCTTTGTTGATATGCATTTGTAAGCCATAACGTTGTATACGGACGTTTTAAACAGATATTTGTCAGTCAGTGATGGACAATACAAGTCAGGGGGTTTTATTTATGAGCTCTTGCGTACTTGTTCTGATTTTGAGCACTCTGACTCGGTTCAGATGAGGAGCAATCTTGAAGAACTAAACATTTGCGAACATTAGGGCCGTTTCCACGAGCTGGACTCATGGATCTATGGTCCGACCCAACTCGACCCGGGTTGCGGATGCGGTCAGTTTGAGCTCGATGGTGCCACCCGAGTGAGTGTAAATAAGTATTAGCAAAGGTAGCGATAGGGACGAAGGAATGGCTATCACGGACATCGCAGTGCAGAGAAAAGTTAAGCGTAAAAGTGACTACCGTGAAATGAAAGATCCCAGCCGTAAAAGTGGACAGAACTGAAAAGTCATCAACATGGATTATTTTTACGGACATCAGCTAACACGCTAACACCAGCTAACACGTCAATACAATGGATCTATAATAATAACGGGTCAATACCTGCAACACTAGAGAGAAGCCTCTCTCTATGTCCCATCTCCAGATGTTGAGTTTGAGAGAAATGGTGAGTGTCTGTCTTCAATCAAATGCATCTTTTACTAAACGTAGAGTGAAACATGGAACTCGCGCTGGTGTCTTCTCTCAAGTTTGTTTGGACAGACGCCTTCTCTGAATAAGTCAAAGATCATAGGGACTGTTGTTTACACTCTTCTTTTGGTAACTTTCCTTGCTACATCCCGGGGGCATGCAAAATACACCCATTTTACGGAAATCCTTGTTTTTTTTTCTCTACAGTCTTATTTGTGTTGCAGCAGAAGCACAGTCGTAAACACTAAAGCGAGAGCTTAAAAACAGAGTAAAAACACATTGCTATGGTGGGAAATGCATGTTTGTAATGTGTTTTATATATATATAAAATAGTTTTTAATAAGAATAGTTCCCTTTTAAATGTTGTTTCTCAAACGATGATCCTTGTACCACTGACGGAACATGGAATGGATAATATACCTCTCTGATGGTCCTGTGCAGTTCTTACAAACCTAAATGTATTTTACGATGACTGATTAACGCCCTGCACAATGTTGGTAAATGATTGTGGCCACAGCTGCCCTGGGCCAGACTCAGATCGGAAGGAAGGCTGCGATGACAGTTGATTACATGGAGACCATAATTTATTTTGCGCCACCAAAAGTCAACATTAATCAGTGTTTGTGTTCCTATCTTCCACTGGAGCCCTCTCTGTTGGGAGCGAGGCCTGGTTAATTACAGTACATTGGTGATCGTGCAGAGGAGCCTTTTCTAATTATTGGTGCCCTTTAATTTACCATGTTAATTACTGCCTTGTCTCACACTCGTTTGAATACATTGCTATTAACTTCCTCTTATCTGATTGCGCCTGCATTTTTAAGACCTGAACCCTATTCTCTCAAACAATTTGTCAACGTGACCCGCTCCCGGAATCCAAATGAGATCACGGAGAGAAAAACTGCTGAAACAATTCATTAAGTCAACATCGTCCACATTAGCACTTCCAAACTGCACCATTTCTTTTAGGTCAAATCTATTAAACCAACATGACATTTTGTTGAACGCTTTATGGAACGGAAATGAATGTTTGGCACAGCCGGGCCCATGACGATGACTCCAATTACCTGTCCTCAAACAGAGTAGAAAAGAATTATTGGTCCAATAAATGCTGTAATGGTCTCATCACTTTGAGCTGAGATGATTGGTCCAGAAATGACTCAAAAGAAATGAGAGACTGTTTGATTGACCCATATATGATTACACTGACCCTTCGCCTGAATTCTAGCACTGATGGAAAAGTGCTCCAACAGGAACCAATATGGACTAAATAGAATCAAACTCACATTATATCAGTTTATGCAAAGAGTTGTGGAACAGTTGGATATTTTAGGATCATTGCCTTCATCAGATCCTTTATAGACCACAGTTTACCTGCTTACAAAGGCTCTATAATGTCCCGAATGTCCTGCGAATGTTTAAACAATAATGTGTATTTTGGGGCGTCTGAACTTTGAGTGTGCGTTTTTGATTTTTGAGATGATCCCTTTTGCACTCGCAGCTCATCGAGAATTGTTTAAGGAGTAATTCCCACTCTCAGTCCCTCTTGAATTTTTGATTTGAAGTGTCTGTATGTAATATGCACTTGTAGGGGTCTAACAAAGTCATCAGTATTGCAATCCTACTTTTGCTGCCAGAATCTGACTGTCTGTGAGTGATAAGATAAGATATACTTATTGATTTTACAATGGAGAAATTTACCAGTACAATCCACCTGCTGGAGTTGAGCTAGAAACGGTGTGACAAAATGTGGCGATATGTGACTTATTTTTGTACCTGCTTTCATTTATATAAAGATGTGGTTCTATTTTTTTTGTCAGTTTTGTTATTCAAAAAAATAATAATAATAAGGAGCCAAAACCAGCTAAATTTCACCCAACAAACTGGCCACCCAAACGAACGCCTCAATCTGCTCTCTGAATGGATAATCTTCTCTATTAATTCAAATTCTCCAACTCCAAAAGTCTGATGAAGGTGATTAGTAAATATTTTTTGGTTACACATATAGGTATCAAATGTAGCTGTATAATTTAACTGTTACATACTGTCCTTTTTACCCTTTTCAAACCAACAAAGAAGCAAGAGAAAAGCCATTTAAATAGAACCCAATCTAACGCCAAAGAGAGTGTGCACAGTATATAAAGCACATTTCTCCTCAGCTTTGGCCGTGATCCGCTGCTTTTCCCGAGCGTCTAACAGAAACCCAGACCTTGTACGAGAGCTGTGAAGTGTTCGACCATTGTGAAAGTGTAAATGAGAATCAGAAACAACATTTCCAATTCTTGCCAGACAGAAAAATACTTGAAAAGCAATCACAAATAACCTCTAAAATTCACTTATTTAAAGGGCAAACGTGTCATGGCCACGTTAGCAAAGTTTTGAAGATGAAGTAGAAATGGACCATTACTTTCAGTTTGGGAAACAAATTAAAATCATGATGTAAAACTTTGGCGTCAGTGCAGTACAGTGGGGGCGGGGCCCGGCTTAAAAGTGGCCAAAATGACATGCGCTGACATGCTTGCAATACCACCCCGGGCCGACGTGGACCCAGAAGTAGAATTAGCCAATGCTAACATATAGCATCTTCTTACCTTTCAAAAACGTCTTTACAGGATGGTCCAAAAGCTCTGGGCTCAAGGTCAATTCTGTCAATTCTGAGGGGAGTGAATTTTTTTG